TAGGGGTCGAGTGAAATATGTTAGCCAAGGGGAGGGCAGACGGATCTTACGGGCCAAGAGAGAGACTGTGATAAGACCTAGTGAAGGAGGACCGCGTAACAATATGGCAGACTCTGGTCGACATTCCCAGCACAAGAGTGAAGGGGGTGAGAACGACAAGGTGGAGTGTGAAGGGTTTTCATGAATGCCACTCTAATGAGCACACGACACTACATCGAAATAAGCACGATAAAAATTGTAACAGTGAAGGCCTGATAGGAGGATATTGGAAATGTGAATAGCCCAGGGCAGAAGGAGAGATACCACAAATGTTTAGTACACGTTTGGTCAAAGGATAGGCTTACTTGTCTCTGACGCGTTGATGTGTGGTGCTAAGAGTGGCGATACTAACTGACGATGCCAATTACGATGCCGGCGAACCGTCCACGGTTCTACTCTGGAAATTATTATTCATACAATGGACTCCGGAATAGGTGCGTTACTCTAAGTCTTCCTACCAATATGACGAAGTTGCGAAAACAAGTTCAAACAACTTCATTAAGTAATGTAGTCGAATGTCATAGCAAATATAATTTTGCTCCATCAAAGATCCCTGGCTTTCCTTGAAATTCACATATGACCTGCGACCCAAGTGCACTCGTGGCAATGTGTCGTAGTGCGTAAAGTGTCCAGCTTATGCGCTGCATTGTCATCGTTCGACTCCTGCTGGAGGTGTTGATAAGACCTAGGCGAGTTCGCAATCGCAATCCACCCTGGATTAGAACAGCTTTTGGGAAAGTCAGGCTATGTTTAATTCAATGGTAACGTCATATCATTGTAGGAAAATTCAACTGCCATTTCTTCAGCTGCCTAAACGAAATTTGGCTAATACATCTCATATATTCTCTTTTTGTCGTCCTCTCGTTTGATGATTTTATTTTCATATCTAAGTTGGTGTCTGCCCATTATGACCCCTGTTTTCTTTCAATGTGTGTACCCGTTGCTGAAGAAAATCCGAGTCCCTTTGTTCCACTCCTTGTTCCAGAATTCCATTTCTGTTACTTTTAATCTTCGGATGATCAAAATCTTCACTCTTCCGATCTCCATTATCTAGTAGTGATGAAGCTTAAAATTGAAGATTATTCCCGCATGTGATTTTTTGGGGAATAGGATCCTCTTGAGTGTGCTGTTGGAATGATTGAGTGGTTGAGCAGTCATCCAGGTATCACGTAATATTCCATATCCGCTCGACTAGGATATTGTCCTTTTATTCAAAGCTCTTCCGCAGGGCGCTTACCGCCTTCTCGTATGAGGCGTCTGAGTACATCGATTGTAAGTCTAAATTTAACAACAGTTTCATCCTTGCCAGTCCAATGTTTTGGTACCTTTATGAAAATTCCTGATTTCTTCACTGTGTTCTATAGTCTGTCGTTCTCTTTATTCTGCTTCAAGCATATATATATTAGACTAGTTTTTGTGTTGCTTCATGCTTGTCGTTGAATATTAACCTTTAGTTGCTTTCCTTCCTTGCGTATCTTCGGAAGAGTTGTTACATTTTAACTTAATTAATTCATCATCCATATTTCGATTTTTCTGTTGTTAGGCCGAGAGTAGGATATAAAGCTTCGGTTAGCACGGGTATGGTGGCATTGGTTGAGTGGAATCAACGAAGCAAGGAAATAAGGGAATAATGGGCAAAAGAAAGACTATGATTGGACCTGGAGTAGGAGGATTGCGGACTAAAATGGTAGACTTGGCTCAGCACACTTAGCACATTTGGGTGAGGTGAGGGAACTACCGGGGAGTGTGAATAGGTCCCACCAAATCCGTTCCAAAGGGCACATCTGAACTAGGTTTAAATGAGAAAGTAAGAAATTGTGATAATGAAGGGGTGATACGAGTATATAAAACAAGTGAATGCACCAGGACAGAAAGAGAGACAGCACCACCATTCAGCAGGCAATTTGTCAAAGGATAAACTTCACTTAACTCTTTGATGAGTTGTAGTATGATGTTAAGAATAGCAAGGCTTACTGAAAATGCCAACTACGAATCCGGCGCAATGTCTGGGAATGTACCAACACCACGGACCCCGACAATACTACCAATTTGTGATAACAAAGTCAAATTCCTTATGTACAACGAAAGAATACCGCAAATATCTTTGTCCTTATACGGCTGTCGCAATAATATATTATTTATTTATTTTCTTTTAAAATTCTCTTATTATCCTAATTTCTATTTATCGGTCTCAACATTAGGTTCATTTCAGAGTAAGGAGAGCATTACTGAACCCCAGATTGAGATGATCCGCCAAATACAAGGCATTGACTCGGAAGATTTATCTTTAGAACCTGTAAAAGAAACTACTAAAAAACGTCGTGCTAGGAACAATGAGGATAATGACATTAGTGGCCATGCTGATGATGATGAAGAAGAAGATACAGAGGATGGGGCTGATATAAGTTCAAATACAGATTGTGAATCACCGAACAGAGACGATCATTTGGAAAGTTCTGATGATGCAGATGTAGAAAAAGAAATTGATAAAGGGGGCACTAAGAAGAGAAAACCCAAAAGTAAGAGGACAAAGGGAGAAAAAGATGAGGTTGAAGTCATACAAAAAATAAATGATAAGAATGAAGATGCAGACAAGCTTGGCCTAGATGAAAAAGCAGGCTCTCGAAAAAGTGTACAGGGACGACGGCATTCGAAACGTCAACGCCAGCAAGAAAGTAATCAAGACCTAAATCAGCCTCCTCGAAGTCGAAAACATCAAGAAGATGCCAGCAAAAGCCAAGCAGATGGAGCCGATACTGGCGAGACTGATGATATGGACGACCGTGATGGTTATGACAGTGAGGAGCCGGAGGAGGCTGGTACTGAAAACCTGCGCTCAGTGGCCGCTTCTGATTCGTCGTTGGTGATCACACGTCGTGGTAACACTACTGGTGGAATCACTACGACTGGCTCAGATTCGGAAAGGCCCGGCCATGTGGAGACTCGCGAAAGCCTTGTCGGTAGGCTAGCTGACGGGATTCTAGCTCGTCTTCCAATATTATTCGACGTAGAGAGTCTGAGAAAGCGGCATATGGGCACTGATATCTCGCCTACAACGGTAGTGCTGCTACAAGAGTTAGAAAAGTAAGTTAAATTGTTTTTCTTTTACATGACTCAGGTTTAATAAAATGATTTGGAGTAGTTAGGCCTTACCTTTCTCTATGTATTTCGTCACATTTATAATTCATTACAAATTAACTAAACTCTTTAAACGATGTATCCCAGGCCTTTTAACTTCTTTATTATTCTTGTCAGATCAATTAATATTCTTGTACCAATTTAAAGTCATCCCAGTGAGACTTACGGTGTTCTCAGAATGTAATTTCTCCATGTATAATTTCATGTTTCAACACATTTTATTGGATGAAATATATTTTATTCATTTTCCCCTCCTATGTATGCAGACACCCACAAATTTAAAGCACCCACTTATATTATTGGAGACTTCTATCGATGACCTACAGAGTAAATTAGCTGAAGAGCTTTCAGTTATAAGAAGAAAGGGTCTTTTTTCAGCCGAAATCGGATATCTCATCTCTGCAACTGACCTCACTCGCCTTTCCACCCGTCTTAACTCACTTCCGAATCTATACTTTGGAATCTCCTTTTCTGTTGTATTTCACAAGCTTGTGAAGTAAAAGCAGCGCTAGTCGCTCAAGGAAAGCAACCCTTGAACCTTAAAATCCAGAAGGTTTTCGTTTCCGCATCCTCTCATCCTTCCTATTATCAGTAGCTCTATTCTTGCGCAGCATTCGCTTCCTAAGCTTCGATTGTGCCCGTCAGTCATAGTAATCTACGCTTCGCTCTGTCGAACTAGTGCCATCTCGGCGGCCATTTTACACCTCTCCTAGACTCCCGCTTTTTCTGGGGACGATGTGCAAAAGGGTTGAACTCCTTTTTATTCGTGAAATTGAGACATGTTTAATAATGTCATTGTTTATCATCTGATCTAGTATTATTCAAATTTAAAATAAAATCTATGACGGCTAATTTAGTGTTTTAGATTTTCAAAAGTAGATCAAATGCTGAGCCCATCTGAATGAAATCTCGCTCCCTACAACTTGATGGTCAGATAGTAGACAGAGTTAAACTGTTCGGCTTATAAGTTTTTTTTTGGGGGGACTATCAATAGATCATTTATATATGAAGTGTATTCATCCTATTTAGTTTAATATGATAAGCGGACTGGTAGTTGAGTTTTTCCCATAATGTTATGAGTAGGCCTTACATTTCCATTGGATTCCATATAGTCTTGCTCTCTCAAGAGGTATTCTTATCCAAGGTGGACTGCAGTTTCGACCTCGCCCAGGTCTTATCAAAACCCCCAGCGGGACTCGAACCATGAGAGCGCAGTGTATAATCTTGACACGTTAACCACTATGCCACATTGCAACGAATGCCCTCGGATCACAGGACAGATGGGAATTCCAAAGAAGGTCAGGCATTTTCAATATCACGTTCTGTGTTGGGATTGTCGATGAAGTAAACTTATATTTGCTATAGCAATCGGCGACTACTTTTTTTTAATTGACTAGATTTTCGAGACTACCAGTAAATTAAATACATGAGTTGTGTTCACCCTATTGCTATAGCAAATACAAATTTGCTTCATCGACAATCCCAACACAGAAAGTGATATGGAAAATGCCTGACCTTCATTGAAATTCACATCTCCTCTGTGACCAAGGGGCACTCGCGGCAATGTGGCGTAGTGGTTAACGTGTCAAATTACACACTACATTATTATGATTCGACTTCCTCTGAGGGTGTTGATGACACCTAGGCGAACTCGAATCTACAGTCCACCCTGGATGAGAACGACTTTTGGGAAAGCAAGACTATGTGAAATTCAATGGAAACGCCAGCTCTACTCATATCATTGTAGGAAAATTCTACTACTAGTCCTTCATCACCTTAAACGAAATAGTGTGAACACAACTCATGTACGTTATTTATGTTTGGTTTATAAGTAGGTTTTTCAGGAGTTTAAATGTGTGCAAGAAAAGTCATCTTTGCGTCTCTTTTAAATCAGTCATGCTAAATTTGATCAAAAAGTGATATTTTATGCATTACTTGTGTGAGTTTAAACACACCATCTTCACATCTTCACATATTTCCCACACATTTGACAATGTCATAACTTTTTATCCCCGACTCCTTCCCTATGATCAGATTTAATCTTATTCTGCGCAAGATCTATGTGTCGCTGAACGAATTGAAAAGTGCATTGAGTGGTGAAGCTGGCATGTCAGCAGAGCTGGACGAAATCTGTCGTTGCATAAGCAACAGCACCTTACCTACCAGCTGGCGCACCCTTGTTCCACAGACAGAAAAGTCACTAGCTGACTGGCTTCTGCACTTGCTGCGTCGCAGTGAACAGTATAAAAAATGGGTGAATTGATATGTTTTCATTTGCTCCTGGCTGTAGTTTAGCTCCCCAAGCCAGTAACTCTTTTTAACTAGTCGCTATGTTATCACTTTTGATCGAGCCTTAAAGTCCAAATGAATCGAGGCTTAAATAGATAACTATTATCTACAATGTTAGGGGGACCTTCATTTCGTATGAAAGTGCATGAGGAAGTCCCGTGGACTGCGTCAACATGAATATCGTATAAAATCCAACCGGCTGCAGTACAACGAGTTTAATCCGTCCTCAGCTGGTGAGATCGACGAACGAATCTCTTCTTCATGCACTTTCATACGAAATGAAGGTCCCCCTAAAAAAGTTATCTCAGGAGATTCATCGAAACCCAGTTTCTCTTCGTATCTATAATATCTACAAATAAATAAAATATTTGCAAACATCATCCTCTATTAGATTTTATATTTTTTTCAACAACCTCCCTATCATACTGCCCTTTGTGCTTTGAGAGTATTGAACAACGTAAGAGCAGTTAGAAATAAAGTCGAATAAATTAGATTAAGTCGTATTTCATTACACAAGGGTAAAATAATGTGAATTGATCAAATTAAATTTCAACTGATAAATGATACTTCGATTCTATTCCACTTTTCTTGCAATATACTCACGTATCTACGATACAGGTTCATTAAATACTTTTTATACTATTTAAGATTAGTATTATTTATATTTTATAAGGCAACATTATCCGCTTTTACGAAAAATGAAAGGAAATGTATCTTTCTGCCTTTGTAGATAATAATAAATAAAAACAAAACAGGTTACAATGTTTTACAACTAGTTTACTGTGCTATATATCTATTCGGATTAGGCTTGACACTCCAATTTTGGTTTTCGCCTGCTAATATTTATGAGAAAAATTGTTAGTCATGTATTACAGGGACTTATAAAACTACATACAGGAAAGTAAAGCAAATGCACGGTTTTCACACTAAAATTCACACTGCCATTCATCCATAAAATGTGTTATAATTTACTTTTGTCCTTACCTATACTTCATCAGCAACTTCAGCAGAGCTTGCACTGTATACGTCAGGTTTTAATGCAAGACATGCTGC